AGAGAAACATCAATTTGTTGTTCCACTTATTTATACATTCGTTGGTTGATTTCTTATACGTGCCCTGATCAGGGACATGGGGACAACTCTCTAAGCAAGTGAGCTACCCGACCAAGATAGAAGTCCTTCACTATTAATTAAAATTTAATATTGCACAAATGCCTTTAGTTCTTAAATTTAACTAGAAAACAAATTTAACATGTACCCTTTAAAAGGTTAAAATTCATAATAAATCCAATTAAGTGACAACATTGAATGATTATTTCACAAGTTATTGATGTATTATATTTTAAAATATAATAATAATATAAATTTGTTTTCTAACCTCAGATTGTTTAGAGACATATCTTAGTTTTATGAAGTTATAAATAAAGGAAAAGGAATTACAGATTATTTTCATTAGAAACCTTCATGATACATTATTTTATCCCAATTAAAGGAAGACTTCTTTAGGCTAAAGCCAAATATTTGCATAGAGATAGAAAGGAATGGGGTGAGGAGACAGGAGGATATTTTAAAATTATTAAATCGACTACAAAAGTTTGGGGTACTACTAATTGATGTAGTTCCTGGCTTTCAATTAAGAATAATAATCTTAGACTTCCGTGATGCCTATAATTACAGATTCACTCATATTTTTCTGAATTTTGGGGTTCTTTCTCAGAGCTTTGATATTAGGCTTAAGAATTTTTTCCTTTAAGATCCCTAGATTTGCGCATTTCATTTAAAACCACAAGATAGATCACCAAATCGGCACTCTTGTCATCTCTGATCACTACTGTTCAGCTTCATTATGAATTACATTCCTGCCAAATCTGTGTCCCCTCTTCAAAGAAGTTTAGGGCATAAAGCTGCTTTGGGACCCCAAAAGTGTGTGTGCATGTGTGTGTTGGTAAAGACAACTAAACTAACTCTGTGTGAAGTGTACTACAGAAATCTCCAAAGGCGTACGGTGGTCTCTGTAGCACACACGTAAGTAGTAAAACCTAAGCCACCACTGTCTTGTTGCTTGTTATTCTGGCCATTTTCTACTACATGTCTGGATACAAAATCCACCTATAACTTAAATTTTTTAACTTGATTGTCTTACCAACATTGTACAGATGACTTTAACTTTCTGGACAGATTAAGTAGGTTTTTTTCATTTAAAATAACCATTGATTGATTTAAGCTTATTGATTTAAGAACAAGTAAAACTCTTAAATGGCTTATATCAAAATAAATAATTTGAATAATATATGATATGATTTTAGAAAGCACATTAAATCAGTATCAAAATATTGGATTTTTAAAATTAAATGACACATAATGTACCAGGAGTTTCCAATTTGAGAAAAACAAATATTTTGAGATAATTATCAGTTTCATTCAGCACATCTGCATTTTACTTTTACTTTTGTTCTCTGCCTTAAAATATTTCGAGTAGATAAAACAAAGCCTGGTATAATTTAAATGCTTTATTAGGAAGCCAGTCAGACAATTTGAATATTATAATTTAATACATTTAAATTATATTATCTCCCCAATAAACAGAAACAAATATATGCAAACTTTTGTTGCAAATGTTTGTCTAAGAAGTGTGACTGTTCCATTAACCTCTTACTCACTTTTTATTATAATTTTTAAAATTTTGATATTTAATTTGATTTTAACATAAAATTAATTTTTAGCATGCTAAAATTACAAGATCAAATGAAACCATTAGTATGTCATCACATATAAGAATATGAATTTTAGAAATTCTTAGATAAATTTACTCTCTAAACCAATAAGCCAGTGTTTCCCACTATGTATTTTTGACATTGTTATAACATTGATATTAACAGATAATAGGTGGGGGGTTAGGTTTCTGTGATGAAATCATTATTCTTTATTGTAGAATTTTCAGGACCTTTTACATGCTATTTGCTGTGTAAATCTGAAAGATTCAACAAAAATTTGCCTCTTTAACAATTTCATTTATTTTCCTTTTATGTAAGTACAGCATTGGACATCACTGTGGAAAGTTTAGAAACTATGTATTTCTTTCTCCAACCAGAGAGTGAACAGCTCTTTCTGTCTGCAATGATTTCTCTAAATTGATTTTCATTCTTTAGGGAAAGAAAAAAGAAGACTGAATTTGGTTAAAACCAAAATAATGTTATTGAAAATATTATTTCTAGGTTATTTTCATGAGAAAAAGGACCAGAGAAGAAAAATTAACTTGCTAGTAGAGAATTTTTTATGATGGATACTTTATCAGTAGGATACTTTCTTTGGCAAGATATTATTGTTTATGGAGTGTTTTCTTTGGAAGTTGATAAAACACAGAAAAGGAGTGGAAAACTTCACATGAGCCAAATATTTTTGGAGAGAGACATGACGGGTTAGTCTCCTAAGGATTAGCCTCATAGGAGAATTTTACGTTGTAAGTTAAAAAAGTATATTTACCCACATTTGTTGCCTAGTTCACTAAGGTGGTACCTAGAAATTTCATTGGTTAAGGCTCTAACAGTGTTTTCATTTAGGGACCATCTGTAGATGATGATTGAGTATGGAGTTGAGAGATGTATTTGAGACTGAAATTTAGTCAATAGCATATTTAAAGCATCTTTATTTACTTATAGCAAATACAGGTTAATATACTTTTAGAACCAGCATCCCCCAATCTACCCAGTTATCCTTTGTAAATGATGTTCTGAAGGAAAATCATAAACTAGATTCTACAAAATCGCTAAACCATCATTAAGGATAAAGGCTTTTTTTTTTTTGAAAAGCAACATTAAGCCAATATATTTTGACTAAGGAATCAGCAAACTATGGCCCACAGACCAAATCCAGCCCACTGCCTGTTTTGTAAATAAGGTTTTATTTTATTAGAGTGTAGCCACATTCATTTGTGTCTGAATTGTCTGTATCCATAGCTACTGTTATGTTACAATGGCAGAGTTTTGGCAGAAACCATAGGATCTGCAGAGCCAGGGATATTTACTCTTGGGCCCTGCACAGAAAAAGTTTGCCAACTCCTGCCAGGTATGTCCCACAGTACCTGTAATCAGAAAGAGTCTAATGTAGCCTTATAAGAGATTGATTTGCAAAAAATAGTCTAAATGTTAGAAAATACATATATATGTACGTATTTGTGTGGATCTATATGTCTGTGTATGTGTATACGTACATATAATGTATTTCAACTTTTGTTGATTGGTGTTATTCATATTAAAATGCTATTTTCAAACTATGATATCAAAATGAAACTTTTTAAAAGAAACTTCTAAGAAAAAAGAAACTTCTCAGATGCTCTGTTTAGCTCAAATTCTTTCTGTACACATATTTTTGATGCCAGGATGGCTTTTTTGCTCCCTTGCTCTTGGATAAAATAAACATATTTACCTGAGAATACTTTTGAGGTACAAACAATTCCAAGCTTGTATTTTAATCAACTAATAGGTGTGATACGTGACTATATTTCACATTCATATCATGGAGGCACTCACTTGATTTTATGTGTCATTCAGTTGTTATGAACATGATATACATACTCCCCATTTTATAATCTGAGACATAATCATAATCAACTAATCAAATTATTATTACCATGTTACTCTTAAAAGAACTGATTGCCTCACTATAGAGGCATTGATTTAAATTTTTTGTTATACTTAGTGGCCATATAATGTAAGGTCTTTATACATTATTTTATTGAAGATTTTCTTACTCCTTTTTGAAACCTTTTCTTTCCTCTTTATATTATTTACTTGACTTCTACTAAAATTTATTACAATCAAGAATTATCAGATAAACATATACAATGAATGTTTTGGAATGAATATTAAAATACCTGCCTTTAAACAGGCGGAATTTTATCCAGATATCTTTATTGCAGTTTTAAAGTTATGATCTTAAGCAAGGGGTATATATGAGTACATTTACCTTCCTTCCTACACTCAGTGCTTGTGCATTTAAATGACATTTATTATAGATACCCACTTGAGCTTACCAAGCTATGATTATTTTTTCCAGTTTGAAGATTTGTAGTGTACAATGGAGATTTTGTTTTTATTTTGTTTTTTATTAATGAGAAATGGAATTTTCCTGTAAAATGTATTTAAAAATTATGAATAGATCTGGCTGGTGTGGCTCAGTGGATTGAGTGCCAGCCTGTGAACCAAAGGGCCACTGGTTGGATTCCCAGTCAGGGCTCGTGCCTGGGTTGTGGGCCAGGTCCTCAATTGGGAGCATTCAAGAGGCAACCACACAATGATGTTTCCCTCTCTTTCTCCTTCCCTTCTCTTCTCTCTAAAAATAAATTTAAAAAATTTTTTAAATCATAAATATACTTTTAAAGCACTTTTTGTGTTTGCTGAGTTTAGCTAACAGAATTTAGTTACTGTTCTAACCAAAGCTTTTAAAGACCCTCTTGATATCTATAATTGATATGTTTTGTAGTGGCATCTGTTACAGAGATCATTATATCCTAAGTGTTTCTTTCTCGATCCCAATTCTAGAAAGTTCAAGCTGAAAATATCTTGAAACTATATCCACATGTATGTTAGGGCAACCTGTTTTAATACATGGGCTAATTTTATGAAATAGTTTCTAACTGCAATTGTAAAATTGTATTTGAGATCAATTGAACCTCCAACTTTTCTTCAGTAAATAAGTCATGAGTTGCAAAACAAAATTTTTATATCATTGTCAAATTTCTGTGTTGTCAAATACGTACTCTTTGATCTACATGTACCAGAAAGTGTTTTATATTAGTGAAGATTTGTTGTCTTTTGTTAAATTTCACTTACATTTTATTCAGATTAAAATTATTTTACATAGTTAATAATCATGATTTTATTTGCCAAATTGCATACTTTAATTATATCAAGAAATTATACACTGAATTTGTAAGTACTGCCTTGAATGAAAGTAATATAACAGTCTAGCATTTCTTCTTTTATACAGATTATAAGTAGGGCTCACAAATAAGAACTGAACATTAATTTTATGGGTTTTTTTCTACTCGATAGGTGCTATGGATATAGAGGAGAGAAACCGCCAAATGAAAATTAACAAATACAAACAGGTAGCCGGATCAGATTCCAGACTGGAACAAGAGTACCATTCAAAGGCAAGACATTTTTCTTTTTAAAAGTGGTAAAATCAATCATATCAGACCGTTAGATTCTCAGCTGAATGCAGATTAGTCAGACATGAACATATAATGCAGTGGCCCCATGATATTATTAAATGCTCAAATTTATAATGCATTTGTATACCAACTTTTAGGTATAGAATTTGCCTTATTTAAAAAAATCATTATATAGGAGTGTAAGAAATGAAACTCATAAATGATCTAAAAAACAAATCTTTTAGAATTTTTCATTTTTGTGACAACTGTAAAGACTCAACACCCTCTGAATGTTTAAGCACTATTATCTTCTTATGGTTTTCCTACACATAGCATTTTTTTTGCTTTATAGTATTTTAACTGAATCTGGTATATTAATGAAGTATTAGCACAAGATACATACTCATGAGGTATTATTGTACATAGTTCAAAATGTTTTTAGCAACAGTCTTCTTAAACTGCTCTTTGGGAATGAGTTGAGGTATGAGGTTTACCATGACAGGAAAAAAGTATTATTTCAATGTTCTTGCTCTTCATTGCCTTTAAAGTTTCAAAACATTTTACTAACATGATATTATTCATGGCCAAAGTCATGAAAAGACTTTGCTCCAATGTAACTATTTAAGATTTAATGAAAGAATGAAAATCACAAACCTTACTAATAACATTTAGTTATTACGCACTTTACCACTTAGTAATTTAATCATTGCAGTCATGTAATATTTGTACTTCTATTTATCTGTGTGTTAGAGAAAAGCAGTTTGGACTTTTATGTGCTGAGGTATATTTTATCCTTACTTACCAAACCTTCCATTTCTCTCCATTATACTCTGTTCTGTGATAAAGTTAAGACTTAAACAAAGGATAACTGGCTACGTTGGATATGCATGGGTGACAGGTAGCCCAGATTTCTAGTTTCTCTACCATATAGCCTAGAGGAGGCGGAGATTCTTAAGTCAGCATCATCTTTCAAACCACCAGTGTCTTCCCCAAACATACTGAGTACTGACATAGTGGGTATAGGATCATTCATCACAAACTTACGGCATATTGAACATGGCACAGGCCCATAGCCAAGAGAGGCAAATTTAAGACAAACAAAGATAGCCTTGCCTTTACTCACCAGGTTCTGAACTTGTTGAAATTTTTCTCTAAAATTAAAATATGAATAACTTCAAATAGTTTTAGTCAATTTTATAGAAAAGTTTGGTAAAGAGAGAATATTTTACATCCCCCACTAGCCTTTTGAGCTTGTTATCAGAAAGGACATCTATGCATTCCCAGATCCGTTTTTGGTATTTCTGCCTCGGGCTGTAGAGACAGACCTGATCTGATGAGGCCTCCGTTATGCTCTAATCGCTCATTTATTCACTTTGTATGATCCAAAGACCAAGGCATGGGTCCTAATAAAATAGAATATTAAAATTTTGTTAACATGTCTTCAGATAACACAAATTCATTTTATTTGCTTATTTATATCCCACTATACTTCAGAAGGAATGTAGGTAATTTTTAAAAATACATATGATACTCTTAATAATAATGTCAATGAAGAAATGAGTATCAAGGGAAAATGAAGTCAGGACAAAACAAGGTAGTTTGTGAGCAAAATTCATAGTATAGCATCCTGTACACCTGCTGTATGTGGGCCATTTACTTTGACCATGAGCTTCCTAACAAGCAGCAAAGGCAGAGGGAGAAGTTGAGTTGGTTGTGTGATTTATATAGTTCACACAATAAAAGAAGTTTCTCAGAAGCAATAGTAATGATTCTTTAGTGAATAAGTGACAGAAACTTCTTACAGAATGAATGACAAAAGAATACTATGGGCATGACTCAAAATGTTTTTCAGAAAAACAAGTTTTGATTCCATTCCAATTCATATATAAATGAATGCTTGAGGCTTCAAACTTTTATAACTTTGACACCATTTATTTCAGGTTAGAAGACATTTTAATCTTGGCAAAGGACTGATTATATGAAGCCATGTAATTTCCTAAACGTTCTTTCAGGCAGTGGTTTTCAAATTGTTTTCCCGTAGCATCAACATCACCTGAGGGAGGACTTTGGGAATGTGATTCTCTGGTCCCCTCTAGATTGAGTTACACAAAACTCTGGGGGTGGTATTTCAGTAGTTGAACAGGCCTACCGGTCATTCTGATGTCCATTAAGGTTTAAGAACTACAACTCGAAGGTGAGCTGCTTGTAAAATTTACTTCTGGGTAACTGAATGAGTTGCCGTCTGCTGTTAGGGTTTTAACTGGAAGCCAATAATGAATGGAGTTATTAAAAAATGGAGATTTCGTTTTGAGAACAGAAAATCTGGCACTTTTACCAGGCCTTTCATAGTTTCTAACAAATCCTATCACCTATCAAATACTTATCGTTCTGTTTTCTATTGCTGAAATTATGCTTTCAGCTTAACCAAAAATGTATCAACTTGTACATTACAACTTTTTTAAAGGATCCACAACACAACTCTACTTTGTTTACTACAAAGTATTTCCTCTTGTGGAACTATCTTTGTTGAGTCATCCATCTCCCCATCATTCCTAGCTTGGTACTCCTCTCTCATGGATCAAAGAGAAAATTATAGAGGCTTTTTCATCAGACCAGGGTGTGTGTGTGTGTGTGTGTGTGTGTGTGTGTGTGTAATTAACTTTCATACCAACAGTTCCTTTGATTAAAATTTTCAACAGCATTCTGTCTTTTTAATTAGTAATACTTAGCTTATATTTCCATTATTTTCTTACTTATTTTGATAATATGTCAATTGAAAGCTTGCTATTGACCTATATACTTTATTTAGTACATTAGATCTGATTCTTGAAAAAAATTATTTAACAGATAAGGGAACATAGATATAGAAAGTTTATGCGATTTATACAAATTTACATAGCCACTAAGTCACGGCAGTAATATTTGTGTCTAATCTGGTTTTCAAATTTGAAATGTTTGAGACTATATGCAAAGCCTCAGACATATGGAACATAGACTATATGTCTGAGCTATTTTCCTGAAATTCCAATGAAGCTATTAAGCAGCTTTGATATAATGTAATGGAGTATTAGTGAAGGTTTTTTTTAACAGCACATTCCACATTTTAAACGGCATTGCCTCCCTTAATTTTTTAAGCCTTCTGCACTGACAGTTTGTAAATGATTCTTACTAATCTGAAAAAAATCTTTTTAGTAACTCACTTTGAAAGCTTCTGTAGAGAAATGCCTATTGTTACTGTTTTTTCTAAGAATATTTTAAGCATATTAGGAAATTTAAAAGCCAAGAGCTTACATTTAATAAAACCAGTAAAAGACATGTGATGTGATTTCTTTTTAATCAGTGGGTGATTTCTTGTTTTTTTTCCCTCAAAATAGATTTTAACTGTGTAGCCAGCGCCCTTCTGTGTCTGTCGGTATGCTCCCCGGCCCAGTCTAAGTGTCTTCTGCTGTTCTACTCTGGGCAGAAGTTTAAAGATCAACTTTTATTTTTTTCTATAAAATAAATATTCTCTGTTCTTCATTGGTTCAGAAAATGTGATGTATTTATTAAGTTTAACAGAGCAAATTATAGTTCAGCATATACTAACTACTCTTCTGGGAATAACATAATATTTAATTAATATAATTAGCAATAATTGAAAATCAAACAATGTGTATATATTTCAGTATATCTGGAAATGAGTGTGGGAAATTTGTAATTTTATTTAAATATGATTTTAATTTTTTAATTAGTCATATTTAATATTTTAAATTATCCCAGAATTTATTTTTAAAGGGTAGTCCATAATATTTCAACAGAGAATGCTATACAGTTATTGATATAGTATTTATTTGAAACTCAAAGCTTAATTCTCTGTAGAAACCATACCCTTTGGAAAATGCCAGTAATGTTTCCACAAAATTATAACAAAAATATCTTACCTCATTCTATCACTTATAATTTTCTATGTTGTTATTTATCTCTCTATAATTAAGTAATACAGCCCATAAATTCTGCAGAACTTTGCAAGTGTGGACCATAAACCCACACCAATTCATTTAAGCCATAATCTAATAGACTGAGTTAGTAGTGCTGAGGGGCCAGAGGGCAACATAGCAAAGGGAAGGAAAAGAGTTTATTTCTATCCATCCATCCATCCATCCATCCATCCATCCATCCATCCATCGTGCTTGCCTGTGCCTAGGCAGTCACCTTCTCACCCAGGCTTTTGTCTTTTAAGGACCTATTCACCAACTTCAAAGAGACAGTAGGAAGAAAGCAATCAAACTAATTTACATTAAAATGTGAATAACACAACACACAAATAGTGTCATCTTTAAAGCCCTATAAATAGAATTAAAGCTCACGTGATTGAATTATAGGCCATATCAATATAAAAACAATTCAAACAAGTAAAGGCAAAATATTTTTGACAAGTAGAGAACCACTGTTAACTAAGCTGTTTCATTTATTAGAGCTCAATGTATTCAACATTGAGAATATGTATTCAGCATTGAGAATATGTATTCAATGCCAAACTTAAGTGCTTTAAATTGACTTTTAAGACAAAGGCAACGGGGGACACCAGAAGAGTGGAGAGGAGACAGGTTGGAGTTCATTCAGAGGGGCCATTCACAAACGTGATGTTTGTAAGTCAAGAGAACTCTAAGACTCCAGTATCATCAGAATGTGGCAGCAGCACGTGAGCATAGTGTGGTAGATGAGTCAGGAAAACGTCACCTGGGTGACTTTGGATAGGTTAACCCCTTACTCTCAGTTTATTTATTGAACAGGGCTTTGAGATCTATTTCATAGGGGGTTGATTAGGATGAAAGTAGTAGAATTCTCAATAAGTAGTGCATATATTTATTTTTATTTTTACTTTTATTATTTTATAATAACATCAGCAGATTGGTACCAGCAACAAATATGATTAGGTCAAAAAGAAATGGTAAAGAAATCATGAAGCTCATGAAAAGAATTTCAGTGTAACTCAACTATTACTGAATGTTTCCTTTATT